CGTTTATTAGATAATGATAATCATGATCGTGTAATCGTATTAAAAGATTTTATGATATCATTTCCATTATTACCCTTTTAATTTTAATATTTTCTGAATCTTTTTAAATTTCAATTTTAATTTTAAAAATCTTTTAATTTTATTTTTTATCACAATATGTGGTTATTGGGTTGTTCTCGCATTCTCATAAATCACAGGGGTTCTCGTTTGAACCCTTCCCTATATATATATAGGGTCTATATATATATAGGGCTATTCAATGGAGAATTCAGTAATTTGTGATAACCATGAGATTCAATCTCAACCATAAATCAGAAATTAAATTAGAAAATTAATAGTTTTGGTAATTCTAACTTAAAATATCAATTAAGAGCATTTTAGAGATTTTAAAAAACTACAATATACACACTGTGATACCTAAAAAGTATGCATTGTTAAAAATATATATATATATATATATATATATACATACACAAACGATATTCACTGTTATACATGTACATACATAAAAGATGCATACTGTGATGTATTCGTAAAGCAACTACACAAAAATACACATACATTGTGATACCCTTTCTAAAACAATGAAAATAATATTGTGATATACTTTATAAAACAATGAAAAATACATTGTAAATATTATCACTGTGATTCACTTTGATCCACAAACATTTCTAAAAATTATATATATATATATATTAAGTAGTTAAAATTAATTAAAAAATTTCATGCAATTTGACGTATTAATGTAAATACTATATATTTTTATTATAATGAATTTTTGAAAGGGAAGTGCATATATTAAACTCAACCACCCAATAATTTACTAATTGATCAGAAAGTCAAACCAATAAATTAAACACAACAATTAATACGTGTTTTCTTTCTCTTTCTTGTTGCATTCCATCTTCTTTCCTTTTTTGATCGTCTTTGCTGGAAGATCTTCTTATATTTGATTTCCATTTCCTTTTCGTTAGGTGTGTTTAAAAAAACTGTTGAACCGTTCAAACCGATCGAACCAAGTTAAACCGGACCGTTTTAGACGGTTTGAACAGTCTAACGGTTTGGTCTGGTTTGAAAAATAGTAAAACCGGACGGTCCGGTTCGATCTGCGGCCTGGAACCATTTTTTGTCGGTTTGGACCAAACTGACCGCCAAATACATATACATATATATATATATATATATATGTAAGCCCAACTTTTTTAATTTATGGGTTATGATCCAAATATATCCCTAAGTCTCATATAAAACCTAACATCTAACATAATCAAATTCAAATGAATCGGCGCCTAAAACTCCCAAAATCAGTAAACATATCGTCACATTTAACATTAAAGGTCTCCGAATTTTGAAATCTCTTAAGAACTCTATCAATCTATCGATCTTTCCTTATCCATGGTTTGATTTTGACGCACATCATCAAGACATCAACCAAGTGATTGAACCAACTAAGATTTGGTTTTTATTTTATTTGGTCAAGAATTCAATACTCAAGAATTGAAGGTTGTGAAGTCGTAAATTTTTGTTACTTAATACTTACAGTGGAGTTGTAACTTTGTTAATTTGTTTGTTTTCTAATATGTATTATATATTTATTAATTTAGAATTTGGACTGCTTGAATTTTGAACTCAAGAGTTACTTAATTATTACATTTATTTGTTTGAATATTTTGTTTTGTTAAAATGGATATTTAATCTAAAATTCTAAATTATATATGTTTTTTAAGTTTAAAATTTAAAGTCCATTAGAAACTTAAACCGCCTAAACCGGTCAGACAAGACCGCCTTTTCATGGTCTGGTTTGACCGATCTGGGCATTTGATGTTAAACCGCTCGGTTTGAAAATTTTATAAACCGCTATTACGGTTTGATTTGTGGTCTGAGGGTTTAAACCACCCAAACCAAACCGCGAACACCCCTACCTTCCATGTAGCCAAAAGAGCTGAGAAATTAAATTTTTCCTAGTCCTACCAATAATATTGAATTATTATTGTTTTATATAAATTCTTTTTAAAAAGTGTATTGAGGATGATCAATTTAAACTGAAATCTTTGAAATGGATAATCTTCGAAGCTATACGTAGTTCTTTTTAAAATTTTGATTCTTGATTCTTTATTTTAGAGAAATTATAGAGAATCTATAGAAAAAAATTCTCTTAATTAAGAAAAAAACTCAAGCAATTATGTGTATTAGTTGGCGTGTCGACATCATGGGAGCATATCTTTATAAATCCAATATTATGTATTGGGCTTGGGTTCACATGAGACTAATCTGTTTCGTAAAACCTGTGAGACCATTTTTTTACACTTGAAACTTCACAGCAAAATACTGTGAAGGTAAAAAAAAGCCGAACCTTCACAGCGTTTTGCTATGAAGGTTCAAGTGTAAAAAAAGTGGTCTCGCGTGATCCCAAATCTTATATATTGTATTAACAAAAGAAATTATATATTAACTCATAACTCCTTTACCAAACATTTACTAGGTAAACGCTTACCAGTCATATACCTTACGTAAAGAGCATGTCAATGACTAATAATATCACCCGGTAAGAAGCATGCCAACAATCGAGGTTCTTACCCAATAAGTGGGTGAGAAGACTTTTACCCAATGAAACCGTGTAAGATACGATTACAAACAATCAATTTTGATAGCTAATAATGTTATCCGATAAAGTAAATGAAAGTCACCCTCTTTAATCCAGCATTTATTCGATGAGACCAAGATTGATACAATTAAAGATGCTCCATGATGAAATCAATTGCATATAAAGTCTACCTACTAAGAGCCTAACTATTTAGAAATTAATTCACGAAAATAAAATTTACCACAAACTAAATTACAATCCCATATATATATATATATATATATATATATATATATATATATATATATATTAAGACTACAACATTTAAGAAAAAACATATACGGAAGATAAATCATGATTTCAGTATTCAGATAAAATTCCGCTTTTACACACGTAGAATACCATTTTCTAGAATGTAAAACAATCAAATAAAAATGAAGAACAAAATTAAAGAAACTTAAGGTCTAACGTTGTGACTTGGAATCATGTGAGACAAGATTGTTTTCGTGATATACGATTTTTATACTTGAAATTTCACAGTAAAACACTGTGAATAATGTAACTTTTATAGTGTCTTTGCTATGAAGATACGACTTCTTTTTACATTCATAACATTTTGTTTTTGCTCACGAAAGCAGTCTTGTCTCACGTGAACCCAACCTCTAACATTATAAACTTTAACCAACAAGATAATGATTAACGTCGTGAATCACGTTATGCGTTGTTTTTTATTATATCATTTTGAAAAATAATAAATTAGTATATTGTGACAAATTATATGTAAACAATAATTGCGAAAGGGTATTATAAAATACTCAAAATACATCTTTGACAACTACAAACATTAATTATTTTTAAATTTGCACCCAAAAAAATGGATCGATTTATTTAATTCATCCAATAATTTGTTTGCTGTCTCTCTCTCTTTCTTTACTTTCAGCTTCAATTTCATCAATTCCCCACTTTCTTGATGCATTCCATCTTATCTTCTTCTTCAAAAAAATGTCTTCGATCAAAGAGTTTGAACACCTTAGAATTCCCCTTCAAGACATAAAATTGGCCACCAACGACTTTGGTGATGATAATTACATCAGTCGAGGCGGATTCGGGAAGGTTTACAAAGGAGAGCTCGTTCACTCCAGAGGACATGTCACGGTTGCTGTCAAACGCTTAGATACGACACTTGGACAAGGGACCCCTGAGTTTTGGAAAGAGATCATGATGCTTTCCCGTTACAGACACGACCACCTTGTCTCTCTCTTGGGCTATTCGGATGACGGTGGTGAGAATATCCTTGTATACGAGTATGTACCAAACAAAAGTCTCGACATGTATCTTAGTAGCACTACTCTCTCCTGGATCCAACGTCTTAAAATATGTATCGGGGCCGCTCGTGGTCTAGAGTATCTTCACAATCCTGGTAGTACCACCCAGAGGGTGTTACATCGCGATATTAAGAGCTCCAACATATTGTTAGATGAAAATTGGAATGCCAAGATTTCAGATTTTGGGCTTTCCAAATTCGGACCTGCTAACCAAGAATTCACATTTCTTATCTCTCATGCTGCAGGTACTATCGGGTATTGTGATCCACTTTATATGGATACCGGATTCTTGACAAAAGAATCTGATATCTACTCTTTTGGGGTAGTATTGTTTGAGGTCTTGTGTGGAAGGCTTTGCTATGTGAATTACAATGATAGTCGTCGGTTTTTGTCGAAGTTGGCGCAAAGGTGCTACGAAGAAAATGAAATACATACAATTGTCCATACTTGTCTACAAGAGCAAATATCACCAGACTGTTTGGATAAGTTCTCAACAATCGCATATCGATGTTTACTTAGAGATCGCAATGACCGTCCACCTATAGCTGAGATTATAGAACAACTTGAAACTGCACTCCAAGATCAAGTAAGTTGTATCTCGAACACAAATGAATTTTCGTCTGCTCATATAAGAAAATAACAATTAACACTTGTTGGAATTCTACTTTCTCTAGGAGACACATGACTTTGAGAAGGAAAAGAAGTTGGAATCTGATGGAGAAGTTGAAGAAGACGGTGATGTTGGCGATATGTCTGAGGAGGAGTTGAAAGCGTACGATGGTAACGATCCCGCGAAGCCGCTTCTTATGGCGATCAAAGGTCATATCTACGATGTCTCAGAAAGCTGGAGATTTTACGGACCAAATGGCCCTTATGGACCATTTGCGGGAAAAGATGCGAGTAGAGCTTTAGCAAAAATGTCGTTTGCGGATGAGGATTTGAATGGAGACCTCACTGGTCTTGGTCCTTTTGAGCTTGAGGCATTACAAGATTGGGAAGACAAGTTAAAAAGCAAGTATGTTAAGGTTGGATCGATTATAAAGTCATAATTGGTCTTTTAGTAATGAAGATATGAAGGTACTTAAACTACAGGAATTGTTGCACTTTATTAATATCTTGATTCTTATTTGCAATTACTTGAAGATTTTCATTCATCAAATGCAATATGTGATTCTTTCTTGTGTGTTAATTCGTAATGGACGAAAATGCTCTTGTAAGCTGGACAAATGAAATTACTAAATGGTTTTTAGAGACTTGTATGAATAAAGTGGGTCGAAATGGGGGTAGTTTTCGAAAAGAAACTTGAGCAAAGTTGGCAACAAAGTTTTAGACTTCAGACGTTTGTCACAGTCTAACTTATTCGGATTTCAGACTTCAGACGTAAAAACAAACAGCCTGACTGATTCAGATTTCAGATTTCAGCACCACCTCTTATAAATCAAAAGTAAAATCAGACTGCAGTACCGCTTAAAAAACAAAAGTCACCTTAGGGGCTGTTTACCAAACGCTAACCCGGGTAAGCGTTTACCAAGTAACATTACCTCACCAAATGAATATGGTAAAGACTGAGAATCTTACCCAGTAAGAGCGAGATAAGGACCAAGAGTCTTACCCGGTAAGTGAGAGTGACGACTCTTACCACGGTAAGCGCTTACCGGGTAAATTGTTGCATACGATGTTGTTTTGGTGGACTAAAATCTTACCTAGTAAGTAAATCATAGTGTTAAATTTTACCGAGGTAAGTGTTTGGTAAACGCCCCTTAATATCTTTTTTATAACTTTTCTCTTAAAAAAATTATCAAACAAACCGTGAAAAACAAAACATATATTTTGAATAGTTTTGTTCAATTTTTTATATGTTTTAATACTAAAATTAAATATAATAAAAAAATCAATAAAGAGGGAGGAAGGGTCGTAAAGTCATTCCACTATGACTCAATAATTCAAAGTCGGCAATAATATCAGTCGAGGTGGATTCGGAAAGGTTTACAAAGGGAAGCTTGTCAACTCCGGGAGTCGGGTTATGGTTGCGGTAAAGCGCTTAGATTCGGCATTTACCGCTAAGTTTTGGAAAGAGATCATGATGTTTTCCCGTTACATACATGAGCATCTTGTTTCTTTGTTAGGCTTTTCTGATGAAGGTGGTGAGAATATCCTTGTATATAAGTATCTATCTAACAAAAAGTCTCGACTTGTACCTTAGTAGCGTTAATCTCTCGTGGATCCAACATCTTAAAATATGTATTTGGGCGGCTCGTGGCCTAGAGTATCTTCACAATCCCGGTAGAACCACACAGAGAGTGTCTAAATTGGTCCAATTTTATTACGTGAGCATTTTAAGGATCGAGAATCTTATCCGAAAAGAATGAATTAAGGATCAAGAGCTTCAACGATTACCATCCGTCTATTTTGATGGCCAAAAATGTAATACAATAAGGTAAGAGGATGGTGACTCTTACCTAATAAGCCTAAAAACAGACAAGTAAAAGGAATATGTGAATCTTTATTTTAATCATTATAAAGATTCTATTGAAGTTCCTATTACCTTTATCTTTTACAAACTTGATAACTTATACAAATTAGCAAACCAGTTTTTATTTATGAAAATGCAGTGTTTATACAGTGTTATTCCGAACGTTCACATATGAAATGCTTTATAGACATCACATTTTCGCATGTATTGTACATATAAAAAAACACATAGAAATTGATTTATAAATTTATACGATTTGTTGGATTTGTGAGTTATTGTATTTATGTCTTACCTACAATGAATATTCGCATATGGAACGGTTTATTATGCTTTCCATACATTGGTGTTTCATAAAAAAAAATACTTGTTCTTATAGTCTTTGTATAATATTATTGACTTAAGTAAACGCCAACGTGAATATGATGTCTGAAAATTGTCCATTATATTTATATATATATATATATATATATATATATATATACTTTCTGTTAAGAGTCCATAAAATTATAATAATCTAAACTTATGTATCATGTGTCATTTTATATGATTTTTTTCCATCTAAGACTAAGATTTAGAATACTGATTAACATATATTTGTTTCACAATTTGTTTGTTTCCCGTGTACTCGGTTTACAAATGTGAGCATTTTTTACGTGTTTGTAGAACAAAAATTATACGTAAAAAAGTTTTGCATTGTGAACCGAATACATGTGAAATAAATATATGTTAAGCAATATATTAAATACTATACATGGACGGAAAAAGATCATGTAAAACAAAACTTTAATATAGAAGTTCTCACAAATTTTGAAGTTATCAAATGAGTAAGCCCCTATATGTAATTTGTTTATTAGGATTTATTTAAAAATACCTCTTAAAATATTAAATCATTAATTTTTATTTTATTTTTTTATTAACCTGGATATCCAACTCGTTATGCGGGCCAATTAATCCCAGGACGACCACCTGCTTTGCAGATAGCTCGGAGTTACCGCATTTGAACCTCTATGACTACAAGGGGATTTTTATTTCTTCTTAGATTTGAACCTGGGATCTCCTGATACTTTTGACCTTTAGAATCAAGTTCAAATCAATCAAACACCACTCTAAAGTAGTACATTTATTAAATATATTTGACATAAGAAGATATAAAAAGCAGCATATATAAATAGACCACTTTGGTGGTGTGGTGCAAAAAGCCGTCTAAAGGTTTATTATGCTTCCCACACAAGAGTATTGTCTAATTGGTTTAAGTTTGAACTTTAAATGTCAAAGGTTTTTGGAGGTCTCGGATTCAAATCCAATGAGAAATAAAAAATCCCCTTGTAGTCACAGAGGTTCAAATGCGGTGACTCCAGGCTACCCACAAAATGGGTGGTCGTCCTGAAATTAGTCGGCTCACATAGCAGGATGGATATCCAGATTAATCAAAAAAAAAAGAAAAAAATAGACCACTTTGGATTAATCACAATGAATCAACATCGATCTATTCCTCCTCTATTTCAATGTCGACCTTGTCTTTCTTTTCTCAAGGTGGCTCTTCAGCATCCATGAGAAAAAAAAATCAGTACAAAAAGATGATATCTTCCACCTCCAACCGTCCATAGTCGTATGCAAGAATGGCGTGATGCTTTGTGCTGCAATGCTACAAAATGCTTCAAAGACTTTAAAATGAATCGACAACTTCAAGAATATGTTCAGAACTCGCAGAAAAGTGGAAATGTTGCTAAGCCACCATCCTTCTGGGATCTTTTCCGTGCCAAAAAGAAATGATTGCATCCTATCTAGCTTCCTTCTCAAATCTCGTAACCGTAATCTTGATTGAACATTTTTTAAGGACTATTTAGTTGTTTCTCTATGGGAAGGGTTCAAATAAGAATATCCATGTTTTACGAAAATGCGAGAATACTTTTGGGCCTCCAAATTAATAAACATATGATAAAAATTAGAATAAATGAAAATTAATTAGTATTTATCAATAATTTTCTGTTATCCTAGATTTATACTTATCTCTTAAATTTTGTTATTATCATCAGAGACTTTTTATGTCGATGTGTTCGTTGTCCGTAATGATGTGATAGTTATATGATTTTGTCGTGATAAAAATGTGATAATGATTTGATAAGTTGAAGATTTTTTATGACATGATTTTGATATGATAATTATCTAATAATTATATGATTTTTGTTGTGATAGCGATGTGATAATGTTGTAATAATTGAAAACTAACGATGATCATGTTTACATTCATCGTTATGTCTGTTTATTATGTGATTTTGTTATGATAATAATGTGATAATTATTTGATACCTTTTAACATATATGTATGTGATATTGGAGATAAGAATGTCACCATAATTACAGATAAATACGAAATCAAATGATTATCTTTAATTTAATTAGTTTATCTTCTTTAATTTTAATGATGGGTTAAATAATTTGGAAGCCAACAAAAGTTCTCGCATTCTCATAAAATATGAGCATTCTCGCTTGAACCTTCACCGCATCTCTATTCACATTTCCTTCTAAAAATTGGTCTCAACATTAAAATTGAAGGGTAAATGGTGTCTACATTAATATCTTAAGGGGCTATCTTGTCAAAACCACATTACTGAGGGATCAAAAGTAAACAATTCATCGGAAACAGACACAACACTTAACGGCGAACACTTTTTTCAAATTTTCCATCTGTCTCTCTCCGGCCAACTTCCAGGGTCACCGATCTCCGGCGATCATTACCGGTAAGCTGCCACCACCATTTTTCTATCCCTTCTATTATTCTCTCTGTACTCTGTAACACCCATTTCAAGTCTCAAAATCCCCAACTCAGATCTAAAAAATTTAATCAATTTAATGGCAAATCTCCAATCCATTTCACTAATTTCATTAGGGTTTCTCATATACCTGTTCAGATTCTCCGTTTCCGATCACGATTCGCATCAGAAATGCCCCAAAACCAACACCTCTTTACTTAATTTCACAAGTGAGTTTGTTATGGTTCAACATCAGCTAAGAGGATCTTTCAAGATAATCAATGACTGTTCTTTTAGGGTTAGAAAATTCGATATGCTTTCTGGAGGTTCTGATGTTTATTGGTGGGGTGCTGTTGGTGATAATTACGACAATTTAACATCTGGGTTTGTCATATCTGATCATAAATTGAACACATCCACTTACAAAAACGATAATTTTACTGTTCATTTGATGAGTAATGTTACATGGGATGACATTAAGGTTGTCTCGATTTGGAAGACATCAATGGCGTCGGATTTTGGGCATGTGGTGTTGGAAGAAAGCAGCGAATCGCCGCCCCCCGCCCCCGCCCCAGCCCCAGCCCCATCCGGTGGTAATTTTACTGGGAATTCTGTAATTAAGATTGATGGAGAGCCAACTATGTTCGATAATTGTAAGGTTCTATCGGATAACTATAGGTTAAGATGGAAATTGAGAACTGAGGAGAATGTGATCGATATCGGGCTAGAGGGGGCGATCAACGTTCAGCATTATATGGCGTTCGGGTGGGCGGATCCGTCCAAGGACCACAACCATATGCTCGATGCTGATGTCGCGGTAACGGGTTTTACTGAAGAAGGAACCCCGTTTGTAGACGATTATTATATCACTAAGTACAGAGAGTGTACGACTAACAGCGATGGTAAGGCCGAGGGTGTGTGTCCGGACACCATGTACGATGATTCGGATGACAATGATTCAGTTAACAACACGATATTGGTTTATGGGCATCGGAAAGATGGTGTTTCGTTTATTCGATATCAGCGACCGTTGAAATCGATCGACAAAAAGTATGATTGGAATGTGGATACAAAGAAGAAGATGACTTGTATATGGGCTTTAGGTTTGATTAAGCCACCTGATTCTAATTTTCCTTATTACCTTCCTGAAAACCATGGCAAGACTTATGGTCATGTTCACATTAATATTTCCGCGAGTGTGAACGATTGCAACGGTCCGCTCGATGCAAAAAACAAGCAGGATCAAGAACTCGTGATTGCCGATAAGAAAGTACCGCTCGTTGTTACTTCGGGTCCAGCCGTGCATTACCCGAACCCTCCAAACCCGTCTAAGGTTCTGTATATAAACGAGAAACCATCTCCTGTTTTGAGGATCGAAAGAGGGGTCCAGGTGAAGTTTTCAATCCAAGCTGGACATAACGTGGCGTTTTACATCACGTCTGATCCACTTGGCGGGAATGCAACGATGAGAAACCGCTCGGAGACAGTTTACGTAGGTGGGCCCGAGGCTCAGGGGGTTCGGTCCAAGCCCACGGAGTTAGAATGGGCGCCTAACCGAAATACGCCTGATCAGGTCTACTATCAGTCGTTTTACACCCAAAAAATGGGCTGGAAGGTTCAAGTGGTCGATGGAGGGCTCGCGGATATGTATAACAACAGTGTTCTTTTGGATGATCAACAAGTTACGTTCTTTTGGACACTTTCGAAGAAATCAATAGCTATTGCAGCTCGAGGTGAAAAGAAAAGTGGGTATCTTGCCATTGGGTTCGGGTCTGAAATGGTGAAAAGTTACGCGTATGTGGGTTGGGTCGATGCTAATGGCACAGGACATGTCAAATCGTATTGGATCAATGGGAGAAACTCGCAAAGTTTGCATCCAATGAACGAAAACCTGTCATACGTAAGATGCAAGTCTGAAAATGGAGTCATCACGTTCGAATTCACCCGAGCGTTGGATCCAAATTGCGATGGAGATAAAAAGATCGAATGTAAGAATATCATCGAGCCAACATCGCCTCTTAAAGTCATCTGGGCCATGGGGGCTCAATGGTCTGCAGACCACTTGACCAAAAGCAATATGCATTCATCAACAAGCAGCAAACCGGTTAGGGTTTCACTCATTCGTGGTTCAGCCGAGGCTGAACAGGATTTACGACCGGTGTTAGCCGTACACGGCTTCATGATGTTTCTGGCATGGGGTATGTTTTTTCCAGGTGGGATCTTGGCTGCTCGATACATGAAGCATGTGAACGGTGACGTATGGTTCAAGATTCACGTTTATTCACAGTGCTCGGGGTTAACAATCACTTTCCTCGGGATTCTTTTTGCCGTGGCCGAGCTTCGGGGCTTCCATTTTGGCTCGTTACATGTTAAATTTGGAGTATTGACGTTACTATTGGGTTCCATACAACCCATTAACGCTTACTTTAGACCTCTAAAAGCTCCTGACGATGAAGAACCATTACGCCAAAGGATCGTTTGGGAGTACGCACACGCTTTTGCGGGTAGAATTGCCGTTCTTCTTGGGATCGCTGCTATTTTTAGCGGGATGAAGCATTTAGGGGATAGATATGGTGAAAATGTTGGGGGATTGATGTGGGCATTGATCGTTTGGGTTTTGGCGAGTGTTGTGACCGTGTTATACTTGGAATTCAATCGGAAAACGCACGTAAGGGAAAGAAATTCCAGGGGCGGTAATTGGGTATTGGGCGATGGCGAAGATGAGGAAAGTGATCTTCTAAGTCCAAGCACAATAGATGGAGAAAATGCAGAAAAATTCTTGCCCTCTTCAGAAAGAATGGAAATTCAACTGGAACCTTTGAGCAGATAGAATTTTCTTCAAAAATTCTAACTTTTTTCTTCTTTGGTTTTTGATTTTCTTGCAGTTTTAGTATACATTTGTGCCGTTTGCAGGTCAACTTTCTTAGAGTTCTCCAGGTAACATATCTATAAACAAACAGAGATACCCTAGAATCAGTTCTATTTCGTATGATTTTCGCTAGCCTTAATGTAGCCATACGATGATAGATAATAAACATCGCCATGATTCACAATTTCTTCGATTCTATGTTGCTGCCCGTCTTCAAGAACAGAAAACGAAGATCAAATACAGAAGAAAATAAGTTCGGGATCTTATCATATAGTATGGTTATTTACTTTTCTTGCTAATGTTTATGTAGTAATTCATCGTTCCACTGTTTCTGTATCTATTTCTAACACCATTCGATGATCTTGCATCATGATGCTGATGTCGAACGATTTCAAACCAAAATCAAGATTTCCAGTCAGGGCTGTTTAGTTGGTTTCCATCAAGTAATGTGTGGATTAATCTGTCTGTATAGATTGAGAGGTTTTTTCATAGATGGAAGGAGCATGTTTTTAATTTGGGGGGAGAAGCTTATTGAACAAGTATCTATATCATTAAGCTACTACCAAATAGTCATGATAGCCAACCGAATAAGTGCAAGTCCCATTAAGCTGCTAACAAACAGACCCTTAATCTACAATCATGATGTAAAGAAATGCTAATTTACCAGTTTTCCCTTCAAGAAACTACTCAGCCATGGATGAAGTCTGAAACTTTCTTGGATGCAATCATCCTCACCTGCAAACTCCATTAATACTCTCAAACTGTTCATTACAAACAAGTTAAACAGACACAATCACATAAAAGTATATATGCAAAAAGAGACAGAAGGTAACAAGAAGCACTGAACGATATATTGAAATGTTGAAAACTTGTTATTGAACACTAATTTACAGTACTCAAACTACAAGACCCTTTATGGGTTCGTTCGTTACCAAGTAACGATCAAGAAAAACATGATCAAACATAACTAAGATGCAACAACAATTTTAGCTTAAAACAAACTTTAAAGTTCATGTATTTTGTTTCCTACTTATTCTGAACCTCCATTTTCCACACCCAGACCATATAACACACCAGCATACTTCTCTGTGGATCCATTGAAGTAACTTTCTTTCAGTTTCTTGAAAGCATGAGACGTAAGCAGACTATCGGATCCTGCTTGATGACAAACACCGATTCTTTCAACTTCCAAGATCTCTGCAAGTTTATTCAAACCACCATGAAGATGATTGCAGAACCTCATCAAATGTTTGATATCGTAAACCATTGGGAAGTAAATCTTGATCAAATTGAAGAATCCCACTTGAGTTTCAGGCAGTTCTTTTTGAGTCAGTAACTTAAGCAAGTACCCGAAATCATATCCACTGTGAAATGTCACCCAACATATATTAGGATTCAAAACAATCCCAGACGACATCAAAAGCTCTCCAAATCGATTTGCGTCAATACCCATCTCAGTATTCTTGTTGAAATCAATCCCACACTGTTTCAACATCTCAATTGAATCACTGGCAAAAATATCCTCATTCACATTAAATTCCCTGAAATTGAACTGCCAAATGCAGTGCTTTTCCGACCCACAAGTGGGAAGATTTCCGTTTTCGTCTGAAAAGGTTAGCCCTAATTGAATCAACTTCAACATATCAACATTATCCTTCAATGTATGATAATTATAGTCATTAATGTTCTTAAATTGAGCCAAAGGACGAAGAACAACACCAGGAAACTCAGTATCCATTGCGATATAAGGATAATCGTCAACAATGTCTCGAATCAAAGCGAACTCTTCTTCAAGATTATCATTCCAAACCTCTCTAATTTCAACAGAATCGCTTTTGGGCAACACAACAGACATATTAACTAGAAAGGTTTTCCACTATCCTCTGAATTTCCAGCCAGATCTGCAATACCCAGAAAAAGAAAAACGAAAAACCCTAATTTCAAAATCAACCCAAGAAATCAAAACAGGGAAAAATCGAAAAAAGATTGTCGATTACAATAGATCCTGAAGATTGAGAACAGATTTGAAGTGTAGAATACATAGATTTTCAAGATTGTAAAGAAGATCTTACCTTTAGGGGTTTGAGAACAGATCTTGAAGTTGAGAATCAGTTTAATCTTTTTCTGTTCTTGGAGAATCGAAAGGCTTTAACCGATGATTATGGGGATTGAAAAGGGCTGGAAGAGATGGAGTTCTTCCAGCTGAGATTAGAGAGAAAGGCCGAAGTTTGGAGGTGGGTTTGGGTTGGAAGGCTTTCTGAGACCAGTTGTGGGAGGCAGACTGGTAAAGCAGGGTCAAAACTAAACTAAGCTGAACGACGCCGTCTTGTTGGAAAAATTCCAAGTTTTGGAGTAAATTACATTTTTAGTCCCTGTGATTTGTTAAAGATTTTGATTTTTTCCCTATGGTTTAGAATATAGTTTCCGTCTCTATAGTTTATAATTTATTGTTATGTTTGTTTTTATAATTTATTATTGCTTAAATCCGAGTTATTTACAATTATTTACTATTTTAATTTTTTATATTAAAAGGTGAAAATTAAAATAGAGAAAAAAATTACAAAATCATAAAGACAAGACAAGGTAAAGCAAGGTCAAAACTGAACTAAGCAAAACGACGTCGTTATCTTTGGAAATTATAATTTAAATGAATTATAACTTTTGGTCCCTGTGGTATGTTTCCACTATCGGCTTTTGTCCCTGAAATTTATTACTGTATACTTATGGTCACTTTGGTTTGCTTTATGTTCCAGTTTTGGTCCTTGTGACTAACTTTGGTTTAAAATATATGTCAAGTCAAGGGAATTTTGGTCTTTCTTTGCATATTTATTTATTATTTATTTAAAATTTTAAAAAAGTGTATTATTATTATTATTCTTTTATTATTATATTTATACTAGAAGAGTACTCGCGCAATGCAGCGAGATACATCGTGTTTTTAATATTTCATTTTATTCTTTATCTCAGTCGATGTTATAATATGACTTTATGTGATTATGAGAAAGTGATGATGTTTTTATTTTTGAATAAAATATATGTTTGAMGATATCATAAAAATTTGACAAAAATATATCGATATTAGTATCAAATTAACTATTTGAAATTCCTCATTTTTTTGTGTAATTTTTTAAT